CACAAAAATAACTATTAGAAAGCTGCAGCTGATTCAGAACGCCGCTGCTCGAGTCCTTACCAACACTAAGAAAGTGGATCACATCACTCCTGTTCTGAAGTCTGTACACTGGCTTCCTGTGTGTCAAAGAATATATTTCAAAAATACTGCTGCTGGTTTATAGAGCACTGAATGGTTTAGGCCCAAAATACATTTCTGACCTCCTGCTAAATTATGAACCATCCAGATCTCTCAGGTCTTCAGGGACTGGTCAGCTTTCTGTCCCCAGAGTCAGAACTAAACATGGTAAAGCAGCATTCAGTTATTATGCTCCAAATATCTGGAACACACTCCCAGAAACCTGCAGGTCCGCTGCAACTCTGACTACTTTTAAATCCAGGCTGAAGACTTTTCTTTTTGCCGCTGCACTGTAACTTTATTATCTTTCCTTTTAAATTAGTGTTTTTAAATTTCATTTTATAATATGTTTCTTAATGTCTTTCATTTTTGTAAAGCACTTTAAATTGCCTTGTGTATAAATGGGCTATATAAATAAACTTGCCTTGTCTTTAATCAAAAGACACAACATTCTTTGAACACAGCATGTGGACTTTTTCATCCAGTGTGAATAAATAACTTAATTGTCCTGTTGTTATCCAACAATGTATTGGTGTTGTTTTAGTGATACAATATTACTAAACCTTATCTGCCCTTGATCACAGAACAGGGTACTACAAGAGAGAGGATAATATTCAGTGTAAGGTATCTTTTGAAAGGAATGAGATCGCATATTTCTAAACTAAACTTCCCTCTAATGTCAGACTTATTCTTTACGCTGTCCAGAGAGAAATACTCAGATCTTGTACTTCAGTAAAAGTAGAAGTACTAGAGTGTAGGAATACCTACACAAGTAAAAGTCCTGCATTCAAATTGTTACTCAAGTAAAACTACAAAAGTATTGGCATTCAAATATAGTACCAAAATTAAAATTACTCATTGTGCAGATTGGCCCATTTAAGAATCATTTATATTATATGTTTTATAACATTAATCCACAAAGTAACTAAATGTACACAATAAATGTAGTGGAGTAAAAGTACACAAGTTACTTCTGAATTGTACTCAAGTAAAGTAGCATAACATTGAAATACTCAAGTAAAGTACAAGTATCTCAAAATTGTACTTAAGTACAGTACTTGAGTAAATGTAAGTTACATCTGGACAAAACTCATTTCGAAAAGGAGAGGATGCCTTTTTCGATAGCTTTCATTTCACATAATAATTATTGTTGAAACAACATTCATGATCAGCTTTGTTTAGTACACGTGCAGCACATTATTCTGTTAAATAAATCCTGTGCTCTCAGTCATTCATTGCTAACTGCCCCTATCCCAATTTGATTATAGAGAAGCCTCTGAAACACACTTGAGAAAGTTGACTGTCTCTGAGGCTAAATGTGATCAAGTACTTCTGAGCTACAGAGACGTACGTGATCAACAACAGGTTGGGTGGAAAGAAAGCAAGTTTATACTTTTTTCTTCACACATTGAGCAATGTTTTGGTGATTGGACACACATTGACACATATGATGCATGTTGGGTTATTCTGTTAGAGCAGATGACGACAATGGCTCAGCTGCTTATTATCAGTCCAATCACGAGGTGTGATGCTTCATTGAGTGATATGAAAGAATACTGGCACCATCACAGACCTTCGCTACCTGACATGTGAGGGATCCTCAGGGCCGTCCCTGGCCAACTTGAGCCTCGACGGGGTGGGTGCTAGTCGAGCCTCGAAGCGGAGAACTCCATATGCAAGATGAGACCCCTACTCCGCGAGGTGAGGCCCCCTGCTTGATCTTCCTGTAGGGAGGGATGGCCCTGGGGATCCTTGTGATGTGTAGTGCACAGAGTCACATGCACACAGAGCAGAAGACCTCATGATGTCCCCACACTGTTCTCTCTGTGCTTTTCAAAGTTTCATGTGAGCTCAATTTCCTTTAACTTTTCAATTTGGTGCATTTTTTCAAGCTCCCATTCCCTAGTTTTATACATTCTCTAAAAGCGAAGACAACTCTTAATACATTTATTAATAGCCTCTTGCTTGCTTTGTCTACTTGCCAGCTACCCATCTGTGACCTCTTTTGACTTTGAAACAAGACAAGATGCAGACAACAATCCTGTTCTCTGTCACAGAGGCTGAGGAAATGATCCGGCCTACACATGCAAACGGTGTTAGAATCTGAACCTTCTCCGCTGCCGTACTACAACCTCTCTAATGAAGTTGATGTGGGCTGCTATCAAACTCTTAATTTAGACAAATAATATAATTTAGTCTAATATAATTTCAGGGGAAATGGAGCTTTACGGTAAATTAGTAAATTAAGTTAACATTTACTGAACATCTACCCGTCATCAATAGCAGCATGTGACAGTTTGGCATCATGTTAGAGCTTGGAAGGTATAGGTGATGGAAAGGGCACAAGCTATGGCCTAAAGGCTTTTCTGACTATTGACATTTTACTCCGTCTTAAAGGTCACCTATTATGCAAAATCCCCTTTTTCATGTCTTTTATACATAAACATGTGTCCCCTCTGTGTGAAGAGATTCTGAAGTTTCAGGATAAAGATTCGCTTTTTATCCTGATCCATTTATATAAAAACCTGTCTGAAAATGAGCTGATCAGATTTTGGGCACTTTATGATGTCATAATGTTTTTTTGGCTTGTGTAACCGTTAGTCAATAACCAACCAAGATACCCCCCCCCCCACCTTATCACCTGAATCTCCCCCTAGAGCACCATTGGGTTCTTTTCAAGCAAATACCTCTCAGAGGGGCGTGGGGAGTGGCTCCTTACTTTCATCTAAAGTAACAGACAGAGAATCAGCACTTTTGGNATTAAAAGACATATGTCACAGCAGGATTTGGAAAAACTTGTCCATGCTTTTATCTTCAGTAGACTGGACTACTGTAATGGTGTCTTCACAGGTCTCACTTAGTGAGACCTGTGAAGACACCATTACAGTAGTCCAGTCTACTGAAGATAAAAGCATGGACAAGTTTTTCCAAATCCTGCTGTGACATATGTCTTTTAATCCTAGATCCTAGTTTTCCAGTCGGTCTAGTAATATGTTGTGGTCAACAGTGTCAAACGCAGCACTGAGATCTAATAATACTAGCACTGAAGTTCTGCCACTTTCTGTGTTTAAGTGGATGTCATTGAAGAACTTTACAAGAGCAGTCTCAGTGCTGTGGTTTGGACGAAAGCCTGACTGGAACACTACGAAACAGTTATTTAAATGCAAGAAATTACTCAGCAGTTGAAAAACTACTTTTTCAATGATTTTACCTAGAAATGGGAGGTTTGATATAGGCCTGTAATTGTTCATTACTGAAGCATCTAGATTATTCTTTTTTAAGAGCGGTTTAATGACTGCAGTTTTCAGGGCCTGTGGAAAAACCCCTGAGTGAAGAGACTTGTTTACTATATGAAGTAGATCTGAGACCATGCAAGGAAAAACATCTTTGAAAAATCTTGTTGGAATAATATCAAGGCAGCAGGAGGAGGATTTCAGAAGTTGAATAATGTCCTCTAGGTTTTTATCATTAATCTGATGGAACTGTGTCATGGTGTTTAAATTGATTTTAGGTGGACACAGGACAACACATTTGCTGTACCTGATGCAGAGGCACTGACTGCTTGTCTGATTTTCTGAATTTTGTCAGTGAAGAAGGAGGCAAAATCATTGCACGCCCTGGTGGATAGAAATTCAGAGGCTACTGACACGTGGGGGGTTAGTTAGTCTATCGACGGTAGCAAACAAGGCACGTGCGTTGTTTTTGTTTTTGGTAATGATGTCAGAGAAGAAAGACTGTCGTGCGTTTTTCAATTCCAAATTATAAAGGCCAAGTCTCTCTTTNTATCAAGAACACAAAACAGTTCTTTAGCCCCTCTGTCCTGGGGGTTGTCAACATGGATGTTAAAATCACCAACGATGACTAGACGGTCAAAGTCAATACTCACTATAGACAGCAGTTCAGTAAAGTCATCAAAAAAGCTTGCACAGTATTTGGGTGGTCTATAGATATTTAGGAAATGAGCTCGAGAGGAGCATTTCAGCTGAAGGGCCACATATTCAAAAGCAGCAAAGTTCCCATAAGATGTCTTCCTGCATTGAATGGAATCATTGAACAAAATAGCAACTCCACCTCCTTTCTTATGCATTCTTTCCTGACTCATAAAACTAAAGTTGGGAGGGGTTGATTCGATAAGAACAGCTGCACTGTTATTTTGTTCAATCCAAGTTTCTGTTAAAAACATTAAATCGAGATTGTGCTCAGTGATAAAATCAATGATTAAAAACGTTTTT